CTTCTTTTCGAGATTTTAAGCCGACGTTACATAACGGAATTTCAGAAAAACAACATAAATTAAAAACACGCTTGTTTTATACAGTAGTTTAGGTGATTCAATTCCGGTTTGTACACTCCATGATACAGAGTGATGTTACAGTGGCCCTTTACTGTTGTATAATAGTAGTTCCTAAAATTTACAGCATTTAAAGAAGCACCCCCGCCCCTCTTTACTTTGGAAAAATAGCCTAGAGAAGGCTCATCTCGAAAAGAATCCACCTAAAGTTAGCAAAAAAATAAAACAAACAAAAAAACAAAACAGTAGAATCCCAGGACTTTTATTTGGGGTTTACTGTATGTCACGGTATATTTTATTGAACACAGTTGAGTTTCATGTTCATTCTTTTAAATGTGTACCCATATCAACATTCTACACATACCCTTCTAATTATTTTACTTCCATTCATTTTTACTGATATTTTTCCTGGTAGTAATTGTTGAGTTCTTCACTTGTGTCTTGTTTTCCGAAAGCTTCCAGCTTATTACTCATCTTTGCAAGGTGGTTTTCTTGAGGTTCCTGCTTTTCACGCCACTCAACCAACATTTCTAAAATGGTGTCTACAATAGGTGGTGGTGGAAAACTCATCTCAATATATTGTATTTCACGATCCTTCAGACCAATGTCGATACCAAACGCTCTCCAGTCCACGCCAAGTCTCTCGGCGACGAATAACAAGTCAACATCAGCCAAGTATCCTGAGATAAAGAATACTGTCATCCTTAGTGGTATTATGCAATGTTTGGTAGAAATACAGATAACAACAAAATTACGTCTCATGACTAACTCTTTGATTCAATCGTAAGTGTAACAATTTCTATATGGATAAAAACATTTTTATGCAATTTTAATTCAATCTTTTGTTTACCTCAGTGGTGGCTGGTAGGGGCTATAGCACCCTCGTCGGGGGAGCCTAGACCCCCTCCCGTCGGGGAAGACGAGTTTATTCCGTCGGGGAATAACAAAAATTTAAAAAAAATATATTTCCATGTCTTCGTTTAGCAACCATATCGCCTTAATTGACCTATTTGTGTACTGTTTGTGTTAACTTTCCATCGCAATAACCGTAACAAAAACAATAACACGGTAATAATAATAATAATAATAACAATAATAATAATAATAATAATAATAATAATAATAATAATAATAATAATAATAATATAAAATAAATTTACGTGCCGTTTTATTGTAAGTTATCCGACTACCGTATATATTACTTTTCACATTGAATTAAGCCCATGAAACAGATATTTTTTTTCACAATGAATTAATTACATTCGAACATCTACTGGAACTAAGTCAGCAGAACAGTGTCAAGTGTCAAAACAGTGCTTTGAAACTATATTTTAAAATGTCAGTACATATTACTGTTATGTATTGAAATAAAAAAAATAATACAAATGCCCCTCTCCCCGTTTGAAAAATTCTGGATCCGCCCCTGTTCAATGGGACTAATTAAAAATGGTTTACGTTCTACTATGACAAATGCTCGTTTGGATATCCTCTCATGATGCTTGGAATACATCTTAATCGGGGAAGCAACCTCATGGTTTACAGATTTCAGGCAAAATTTCCAATTTATAGCTTCACTTTGAATTAAAAGCTTGTAGGCCTACTGTGACGTTCCCGGTGACATTGTTTTTTCTTAATTTATCGTAGTATAAATGTGACAAATTGGTGGACTTACAATTTACAGTAAGATATTATTCTTACTGTATTCGTAATTTTGTTAATAATTCACAATCACATGAATTATGAAATACCTGGATTTCTCTAGGATGGAGCCTGAGGATAGTATTGTAATGTAATACGGTGTTTTTTTTGTTTTTGTTTTTTTTAAATATTATAAAATGTAAAACGGATTTGAAAAATAAGTTAGTTGGTTACATTGCATACTCTTTGTTTCTCATTGTTTTATCCAAATATTTTCGGTTTTGGAACATTAAAAAACATACATGATGTCATATTACGGTAGCTTGATGTCAAATAACTTATAAAAATTCACCAAAATTTTCCAAATGTCCGTAGCCCCCACGGTGGTCCCTAGGCAGCTACCCCCAACCCCCAGCCAATTAAGACTCGTTTGCTCGCCTAGCTCCACCCAGTCGGGGCTTTTAGCACCCCCTGTCGGGCGGATCCTGGCGCCATCACTGGTTTACCTCTCACTACAACTCACCTTCATGTTTGGCTAAGGTCAGAATTTCGTTGCCGAGATCACCACTGAATAATTCCCCAGCTAGTCTCTTGTATTTGTGCTGCCTCAAAGCAATGCACAACACTTTTAGTTGATGCGTTTCATTTTTGACATTGTTTCTCCAATACTTCATCATATTAACGATAGCTTTTTGTGAGTCCCGCCGTTCCTCAGCACAAAACCGGTTAACTCCAACCCATGAAACACCTAAACGCACACCAAAACATTTCCAGCTGCAGTTCATTTCCTCAGACACAGTCGCAATTATGGCGTCATCTACAAAACCTAAAGCAACCATGGCAAAATTGAAGCATCATATCATATAGAAACGTACCATTACTAGGCAGTACACTCAAGAATCAATGCTTGCAAAATAAGTACCATAATTAGTTTATATGAAATTGCCTTCAAACCTGTTGGTCTATTTTAACATTCTGTCAACTTACCTTTGAGTTTATTTATTGTTGTGACCAACATACATTTTACTCTAGGACAGATATTCGTACGTTTTTTAAACTTTTGGCACTACTATAACAGTGTCTACAATGATATTACAAAAGCGATTTAACTTCATAATTAAAAGCCAATCTGTCGAAATGTTTCTATTTTTTTAGAATTAATATTTGTTTTTGAATGTCTTTTAATCATTCCATTATTCAGACTTTAGTTTTACATTTTATTCGTATTCTTGATTTTTTTTTCACTTGTTGCCAGTGCAGTTCGGGATTGATCAGTGGTGCCTTTATTATTCCCCTGTTGGCCTCTTTTCGGAACCGGCAGCTTTATCTCAATGTAATTGTATTGTATATTTGCCAGTGTGAGGCAATATATAAATTAAATTAATAAATAAACTGTATTTACCTTGCTTTTGTTGTATGTGAGCAAAGAGACGGTTAAACATATTTGTAGCCATTGTGCCTAAATGAGCAACAAAAACTCTCCAACGGGACTGGACTGGAAAAAAATAATTTTATATAAATATTGACTGCTCATGAGGGAAATGGTGAAATCTATTGCCCAGAGACCTAAGACGGGGTTTTCAGCCATTATTACAGAATGCAGTACTCATCTTTTTAGAACAGAACGTGTATGCGCTCTCGTGTGTGGTCTGCAGGGCCACTGATCCCTAGGGGCACCTTTGGTATCCCTACCCATGGTCCAGTAGTGACCTCACTCTATTGTACCCTGGGCCAAAAAGGGTTTGTTGGCACGTAACAGCACAATATGTCTCTGACATCGTCTCTAGGGCATATATTATATTAATCCATCTGGAGTGTGGTGCCCAGCCGGCCAGGACCCCTTACATTTGTCAAAACTTTAAAAAAATGGAGATAAAATATTCAAATCAAAGTCTGAAAATTTCCGAGCATCTGGATGTCCCATTATCAGAACTTGCTTTGCGACTAGCAGTCTTCCAGTATAGAATAATAGACATGAGGTCCTTGATTAGACCTTTGCGACACCCGTGAGGAGAGGGGTGTCTAAGGTAAGGGGAGCATGCTCCCGTGGGGAGAAAGCCAACAATTTTATCGAGGAACAGTGCTTTTAAAAAGTATTTTTACCATCTGAGAGTGCCATTTCCGAGCATCTAGAGGGGCCTATTCTTAAAATTTGCTCACCTCAGCCCCAACCATGGGACTGAAGTTGATGTTGACTACCTATGGCGCCTGTCTCTTATACACATCTAGATGTGTATAAGATCAGAACTGACAAGATCAGCAATTTCACTTTCCTATATTTTTGCAGTATTTTTTCTACAGCTTCCTTCAACCATTTATTCTGGTTTTGCTCTTTTCTATTGTCCTGCAAAGTGCATAGACACGAATGCTATATCCGCTATACAAGTGCACAATTTACCTTGTTGTTGCACGTCATCTTCAAATAGTCGGCGGTAGCGCGTCACTTCCATTCCATTGCTTCCACATGGCAACACATCCATGTCAAATTGGCGCACAATATGCATGTGAGCGTTCCTACAATCGCAAGCAATGTACCTTGTTAATTCCACGCCCCTTGCACCGCTCTGACAAAATATCTTTAGTTCTCTTTCGAGGAATGTCAACACCTGTAGCAAATAGAAAACTGATCGTAAATCTACTGATGTTAATGACATGATTAATACATTATTACATTTAAAAAAAAACCAATTCCTGAAGTGTTTCAAGTCATTGACGGTAGTACCTTCTTACACACTATCGGCGATGGTTCGTCTTCCTGGGTAAGCTCAGCGGCATTGAAGATTTTTCGTCTGATGATTGTTGTCTGCAAAACAAAAATAAGCCTCAGTCATAAACAATCTTCAGTAAAGTATCAGACATGCTATTTGATACTCAAGTGCTTGTGGTTCTTTTTTTTTATGGGTGGGTGTGTGTTTTATGTGCTTAATGTTCCAAATAGCAAAATGATATTTCTTTTATATACAGTACTTAATTTTTTTTAAAAATAATGATATGGCGGTGGTATTGGTACAAATGACGACGATGACGATGATGATGATGATAATAATGATGATGGATGATAATGATAATGATGGTGTAAAAGTTGCAATTAAGAATATGTAGATGCCTTTATACTAAGAACAGAGAAATATTCAACAGAATAGCAAGGAATATATAACAAACTAATATTAACATTATTTAAATTATCATTAATGTATCAATTACATGTATTGCATTGTTATTATTTAAAAAAAAATTAGATATGGCAAATTTCGAATATAACATTCCATAATCTACCATTATGAATAAACTTGTCATTTATATTCAAAGTAATGTAAGTACTGTTAAGTGGCAGAGATAAATAATCTTAAATTGCACTAATTACCTTAAACATACGACGATGCTTGATTGAGGCTACACTCATAACCACTTTGTGAAGTTCATCGATAGTCAACTCCACATGCTCATAAGAGAGTTTAGGCTCATCGTCTTTTACTTGGAATCTCTCAATGAACTTAGTTACTCCCCGCTGGAAAAGATCATCAGGTAGATAGCGACCAAAATCATGAAAGATAGAAACTGCCCGAATCCCGTAATCCTTATTTTGTGTGGCATCTATTCGTTTAGGCTGCAAGCGTGAAAGAACGTAGAAAAGACGTTCACCACCCTTAAAAACAGGAAACACTGTACGTCAAAAATTGTCAAAAATAGAAAAAGAACATTTTAAATAAAATTAATGTCTGCACTATGCTGAATATATTTTGCTTTTATCAATTGATGAGATAAAGCATATCCTATTAGGACAAAGAGAAAACAGAATATATTGAAAAAATAAAATACCATTGTAATATTTTTCTCACACACCAGCCCAAACTTCTGCATGAGGGATACAAAGAAGTCAAACGTTTCATCTGAAAAATTGAACTCCTTCCATAGGTGCCTTAACAGATGCTCCTCTAGGATCCCCTTGTCCAATCTCCTCCAGGCTTCTCTGTGCTTTGGTTTCTGAAATTTAATAATTTTAGCTCAGAATCCTGCTATGCTTTTATGGCCTACAAAAATATATCGCTTTTGAAAGAAGGGAATAAATAAATGCAAAATTTTGTAAAGTTGAGCTTACCCTAAACTTTGGATCAATAACGGTGATTATTGTTTTAAACATGTCAACTAATTTCATCACATCTAAAACAATGATATCTCTTAAGGCTTTGTCATCAGGAAAGTAGAGAATCTCACCAAGGTCGTGTAAATACTCAAGCAGCACCCTTTGAGCGTCTCGTTTGACCCCACACCGCTCAACCAAAGCAATCACCTGATGAAAAAAATAACACACACATCCGCAAGTTTAATAATTTTAAAACGAGTGTAAAAAGGGATACCAGAAATTAAACTGACAAAGACAGTATATACGCAGGTCAGTGACAAGTTTATTACATTGTTTTTTCACTGGAAGATAATACTTGACAGTAATTAAGTTCACTTTTGGGGTCTTCCTGTCTGTTCTTTTGTGCTCGTTTCTTGCTGTTTCTGTTCTTGTTTAGTATAAGTTTAATGTTTTAATGAAATGAAATAATAATTAGACTTATATAGCGCTTAATGCTAACAAGGCCTCTAAGCGCTATACATTAATAACCCCTCCCTCCACTCCCTGTCATTGTATCAAGCACATATGGTACACATGGCTGGGGAGAATTCCATAATGTTGCAGCTGTAATCAGCGCATTTTATGTTTGAGCCTACCACCAGGTACCCAATTGTACTCCTGGGGGGACAGGACAAACATAGTACCTTGCCTAGGCGCAAGCGAAATGCACAGCGAGAGATTGAAAAGCGGACCTCAAGGACGGAGAAGCAGAACCACAACCGTTGCACCAAATCGCTCTTTCTGTAAATAATCAAATGTCTACCTTTTTGGTTGGTAGATAGATATGCTTTACTTTCAACTTCTGGATTTCCTGTTGAACAAGCAACCATTTTAAAGGTAGTTTTCTAACCATCTTCTTTGCGAACTTTAATATTTGGTCCATGATGTTAGAAGCATTGCTCTTGGCAAACGGTAAGCTGTTCTCAATAGCAAAGAAAGTAGGGAACACCAATGCTTCATAAGGTTTTCTTTCCAATGCTTTCCGAATTTTATTGAATATTCCTTCGGCCTACATAAAAATATATAGTAGCAACAGTAAAAGCATAAATCACAATATCGAAAAAAATAACACATTAATACGTATTATCTATATAATTCTAACGTTTGTGCATATGGAAACGTTGTATCATTTGCTCTCCAAGGTCGCCTTAACCATTGGAGAAAACCGGATTTTTTTCACAAAAGTACATTTTTGGTACAAAATCTATGATTTTCTTGTAATGGCCCAAGAGGATTATGTTGTAAAAAATATTGATCTACCAATTCGTGAAGAAAAAATGAAAAAAA